ATGATTCTGATTAAGACCTGTTGGTGGCAAGAATCTGAGTCTGCTCAGAACCGCAAAAGTGTATCCATTGAGAAGTACAGAGGTGTTGCCAGGGTGTGTAGAGATGCAGTTGGAAAAACAAAAAGCTCAGCTTGAATTGGAATTGGCCAGAGATGTGTCAAAAACCACAAGAAATGTTTCACAGTGAGAACAATCAACCATTGGAATAATCTCCCCAGGAAGTGGGGGATTCTCCAACCATTGTAAAATGCAGATGTTTCTCAGTCTAACAATTGAACTACATCTTATGTTCCAGGAAAAGAAAGATAAGTTGTTCTGAAACAAGGGTTATTTAATTTTTTTAATTTTAATTCTTTTAGAAAGAGCAGTTATCCCTAGTAATGCACTCAAAGCACATCTAAAATGAACACATTTTTGGGCAAAGCCACGTTTTTGGCATTTGCTCAAAACCAGGATTGGGCATAATCACAGGAAACACCTCTCCAGCTGATGCTAGCAAGAACAGTGCCAGGCAGCTGGTGTTTAATCCTGTGTGTGTGGCAAAGATTGTGAGAGAGAGAATCTGGGAAGGGTTAATACCCTATTGAATGCATGACTTGCAATTCCATTATTTGTATTTTTAGGGTTTGGGGTTTGTTTTTTTTTTTGGTTTAGTGACTTACACGATGTAGATCCTGAAACTGTCTGTGAAGGATGGCACAGAGAGGCACTGTTATGCCTCCTCATTATGCTGAGGCATTTGTTTGAATTCTGGTATTCACCAAGATGAATACCATGTATCAGGCAGCCACTATTTCTTCCTGAGTACATATTCCTTAATCTTGACATCTCCCTTTCAAAGATTGACCTGGACTTGACTGGAGATCAGCAATATTCGACCTAGACAAATTGAAAGAATTCCAGTGTGATATCTCAGCCTTTTGCAGAAAATTAGATGTGTGAAAATGTACAGTTTTTAGTACATCGTATAGCCCTGCTTGTAAAGGTGCCAAATATAAAGTTGGAAAATATTAATATTGTGGTATATGGCTTTGGCCTGCTGTTTATGAGTAAAGTCCTAGACATTATTAAAGCACTGTTATCCCTGGCTGTCAACTTTGATGCTGGGTGCTGTATTTGTAGTCTTTGCATGAAACACGCTTGGATAAGAAGTTTAAGTGAACTAACACCCCATTATTGTAAAATAACTTTTTCATCTAATGCTTTTATTTGTTTCTTTAATATGGCAATGAGCAATACACACCAAATAGAATGTGGGGTTTTTTAAATATTGAGACTTACTTGTAAATAAAATATAAAGTTTATCATTGTATTAATGAAGCTGATGAGGTTAATTGTAGCAATTCTAAAATGTGTTCATGTCACTACAATATAATGCTTTGGGATTAATTTATTTTTATTCCTCTTGCATAGTAGTGTAAGGGAGTAAAATATTCTTTGTGTGGATACATTTAAAATGTCTTTATGTGTCCTAATGGTCTTGCTGCTTTTGTGTTTGATTTAGATAATCCTGTGCTAACATTTATTTTAATGTGTTTAAAATATTTTTAAAGTGCAAAAGGCTGCATTTACTTCGCTGTCACTTTATTTTTTTGTATTACCTTATGGTTGGGATATCTTTTGCCTTTTTAGCTTCCTGTTCTTTGAAATGTTTCCACTTGCACAAGTGAAAGTGCAAATGCAATCTGATCAAAAGATTATGTTGTCGGTAGAAACCTGCTAGTAATTGCCAATGTCTAAAGCCTCTTTTTCTTTATAACGTTGTTTGATTAGATTAGTAATAACTTTTTCAGGTACGTAGACAGCAAGAAACTTAATAGTTTAAAGAATTATGGGCAATATAGGCAAAACCTGTTAACATGGCTTAGTATTCCTTAAATAGTTTAAACAAAGTGACTGCTGTGAGGTTTTAAGAGACTTACAAGTCAAATACTAGAGGCTGCAGAATCTGGTACTTCAGGGTAAGGTAACTGGATTTTGCCCGTGACTGTTAATGCTATGCTATTCCATCATTTGTAAGTAAAGAAAAAAATTGTATTCAACTTGAAAATTGAGGTACCAGATCTGAGCCATCCTCTTCTCTTGGCCCTTGTTGGTAGCTGTCTTTTGTTAGAGAGTATAGTAAATTTTGAAAGGGCATCTCTGTGACCATAATTTCTATAACATTTCAGTGGAGAGATGCTTTGGTTATTTGCTTATAAAAGAGATAGGAAGACCAGGAATGGGAGGAAAACTTGAGTAGTTAGTGAAATTACAAAGTGAAAAACTCCAGTAATGTTTGTTACCTTTGTAATATTGATAGTTTCTTTAAAAATATTCCAGTTTAATGAATAAAAACCTGCTAAGATTATAATCTATGTTTGCTGTTAGATTTATGTTCAAACAATAAAGTTTGAATGGTTTCATACCTGAATTCTGCTTTTATGTTTTGGTGCATCTCATAAAAAGTTTCAACATTAAAATTGCACTTGCTTTTAAAACAAGTAAGATAGGCTTTAAAAGTTACTGCCTCTCATCTTCACAAAGCTTTAGAAAGGCGGATATTGCTCTTTCTGCTTTTTTTTTTTTGGTTTGTGGTTTTTTTGGTTTTTTTTTAAGCGGCAGGAAGTCTGAGATAGATCTAAGAATTGTCAAACTTCAGTTCCTGTTCCTAAAAAACATTAGCAGAATGAGCCCAAATTGTCCTCACTTGATTGGGGGTGAAGATATTTTTGCCATGTAAAGTTGCAGTGCTCTTAAGGTTAAATACCCATTTCGTATGTTCTTCTACAAATATGGAATAAGATGGTGCCTATTCTTGCACCTTTTTCTCGAGGAGGAATAGGTGGAAGAATGGCAAAACTTTATTTTACATCTCTCTATATGGGCCCTGATAAATGGGATTTAATCACTGCTGCCTTTTAGGTCCCTTTTCCAAAACCAGCAGGTCTTAACAGGATCATTTGGTAGTATAGATGTTTCAGGTCAAGCTATGGACAAACATATATTTCTGTCAAATCAGATGTGGCTCTTTGGCCAAGCCTGCTGTCAGGGAGGTGTGCCCTTATTTGTCCTCCGAGGTTCCAGGTTTTTTATTTCAAAAAGTATTAATAAACTTGATTAATAAAGGAGGAAGAAACACTCTTAAAATTCACTGCATCTAGATTTGTTTTTATGCTGTTTTGCAAAGTTGATAGCTAAAATACAGTCACTAAATGGAGAAAAATATTAAGTATAATTGGATTAAAGCAAGGAGTTCTGTACAGCATATGACTGTTGAGGGAAAAAAAAGGTTATTTTACTAACTGTTTACAGTTATTTTTAAGCCATTAATCATTGCTAATGGCAGTACTGTTAATGGAGCAGTATGAGAGTTTGAGTTTGCTGGGTTCAGACAAAAAAGGTTGGGTTATATGTCCTCAAATTTTGGACATGTTACTTCTCTTCTGTAATGGTAGCTGTATGAATTACATGTCATGTATGAATTATGTGTCATGTATCCACTGAGCATTTCAAAAGCTGCAGAGTTGTGTGGCTCTGCTTCTTGGTTTGAATTTGAACATGTCTTCTCTATCCTCTTCGCAGGTAAAGATTTTGTTTTTTTATTTCCACATTTTGTAGCTTCATTGTTGTAACATTTGTCTCCAAAATACCAGATGTTGTGATACCCTTTCTCAAAAAGCATCTTAATGTGTGGTGGGAAAACCAGCAGACTTGACAAGTCAGTGACATTTCTCTGTGAGTGGAACACTGCATCTAGATTTGGTTTTGTGCTGTTTTGCAAAGTTGATAGCTAAAATACAATTGCTAAATGGAGAAAAATATTAAGTATAATTGGATTAAAGCTGGGAGTTCTGTACAGCATATGGCTGTCAAGAGGGGAAAAAAAGTTATTTTACTAACTGTTTGAAGTTATTTAAATTCTAGATGGCTGATGGTCTTCAGGCATGCTAAGAATGATGCAGAACATTAGTTTTGTAATGGTGTCATTAATTGTTTCAAAAAATAGTCTAAATCTGTATCTACCTGCTACCCTCTGAGACTGTAGTTGTTCATTAAACAGTTCAGCTGTGGGCACCTTTTGAAATTATACAACTTATACAAATTATACAAGTTTCAGTAAAAGCCTTGGAACCAGTGCAAGTTGAGATGGAGAACAGCTTTTTTTTGCTGTATAGATACCAGTTCAGCAGTGGGCACCTTTTGAAATTAAACAACTTTGGGAATAGTTTCAGTAAAAGCCTTGGAACCAGTGCAAGTTGAGATGGAGAACAGCTTTTTTTTGCTGTATAGATACGACCTTATTTTACAGAGGAAATAAGATTGCACTGAGATAGGTTGTAGTCCTGGAGAGAGCCCCGCGCTGTGGAAATCTGCATGTGTGCTCCCGGCTGTGAGATGAAAACATCCCGAGGCATACTTTTATTTTCTTTTTTCTTCAGTTTTCTGGCAGCCCTTTTATAATACTTCAGCACTGTGCGTATTACAATGATTTTTTCCTCTCATCATTTTCTTTGCCTGTTTTGCTGGTTAAAAATGGTTGAAGTGGTTGTCAGGAAGGATGATGCCCCCGCATCAGCACTGGGAGGCACGTTCCTGACCCAAAAGCTCCCAGTGTGGGCTGGCTCAGAGAAAATCTTCCCGTAGGTTGTAATCACTCACTGCTGTTTTGAGCCAAAGTTCAGTTACGTGGATTTCACTGTAATACTCTTGTCTTAGTGGTGCTAAAGGCATAATTGCCACCTTGCCTCATTGCTCATAACTTTTCTTTGGGGAAGAGTTGAAGGACCTGCTGAGTGACCTCTGTGTGTTACCATGTCTCGCCTGTGCTCTGTGCCTTTCACCTCCCTTCTGTCCAATCTTGATTATCAGCATTTTGAGAAAGAGATTTCTTTTTTTTTTAACTTGTTTAACCGAAGTGCCAGCCAAGCTGTGCTTGCTCAAACAGGTCTTTCAAGCTTGTGATGCGAGTTTGTATTTATAGCATTAAAAAAGCCATGTTATTTGTTTTGTTCTCATCTAGGTGCTTGAACTGGGATTTGATTTCTCATCCTATGGATCACTGAATGAGTAACAGATGGCCTTGCCTCGTCTTACAGGCGCTTTACGCTCCTTTTCAAATGTCACTAAACATGAGGATTACAGTGAAGAATTAGCTGACTTAACGGTAAACATTATTTTTTCTCTTCCAAAGAATAATTGTATATAGTAAGAATTATTTACTTTCTTTGTTTGCGTTGCTATTTTATAAGAGCAGGCAAGCAAGACTGGGAGAGTGTGTAGTTTTCTTTGCATTCCTTCATAGTGTCCTCACTCAGAGTCAAATCTACTGTAGCTCTGTGGTTTATGCCAGGCCCTTACAATCGTCCTATGTGGATGTGTTGCTTGGCTCTGTTAGCACAGCCCTGTTTTTTCATCTTTCAGGAAGTTCAGTTGAGCTGGTATGTTTTTAACTCTGAGCTTATGCAGAGCTGGCGAGCCAAACATTTCCTTTCGAATATTAAGTTCACCTCGGACTCTTGTTGAGGGAATATTTAGAATAAATCTGGTAATACTGAATTTAGGTACATTTTTTTTCCCCTCAAGAAATAATGGATTAAAGCAATAGATGCATTGTGGAAACTTGTAATGTGGAATGAATTTGGAATCTTGGGAGCAGTAAATCTCTTGAAGTTGCAGGAGTTCAGCTTTACAGATAATTCAGCCTCGGAAAGAGTATAAAGTAGTGAGAGAGCATGCTTGTGTGTATCCTTTACACTCAGAAAGAGTGTAAAGAACCGGTAATAGGGCAACCTTGCAATTGTTGCTGCATACTGACTGAATGCAGTTGGAAAGATGTGGTTTTATCTTGTGTTTAATTTTAAAGGAACATCCATATGGTAATTTGAAAGAAATAGAACAAACCCCAAATATTTTGCATTTTCAGGCTAAAAGATCAAAACTACATGAACAGTTGCTGAAGTCTGATCTTACCTGGAAGAAGATAGTAAAATTCGTTGATGACAATTTGGACAAAAAAGAACACCAAACCATAAATGGTGACTTAAAAACTATATTACAAGCTGCAAGACAAATAGGTACGTTTCCATTCTCTAGTAGTTTAATTATATACTGTACTGTAGGGATATTTTTTTCCAAACTGCCTTCTGCCTGTATACTTTGCAGACTGGTACAGTTTTAGTTCTACCATAATGTCAGACTTGCCCTGAAATATTTTTAAAGCTCCACTTAATCTGATATGTATATGCACAATTTGGTCTTCTCCTTATTTTTTTTAGTTTTTGAACTATGATCTGTTTTTATGTGGATATTGTTAATTTTTGATAGTATTGTTGTATAGTGTGTGGTATAGTTTGTGTTAGACCTTTGGTAAGCAAAAGCAACAGCTTTTTTTGAAATGGTATTACTCTGAGAAAGGAACAGTCTTGGTGTTTTCTGCTTTAATTCCACGTGATTAGTGTAATGAAAAATAAGACTGCTACAGAGGCACATAAAAATGTAAAAAGCATAATATACAAGAAGTGTTTAGTGTTGTAGACAAATAAATAATAAACCACACTCATCTGGAATTAAGCTTTTAAAACAAATGCATTATGGCAATCAAAGTATGAAAATTTGTTTTGATTGGAAACAATTTTTGATTGATAGCCTGCAAACACCACAAGCTGACTGAATTAGTTTTAGAAGTTATCTTCATCAGCTCATAAACTGAGCACATGGCTCAAGCTCTAGCCATTAAATAATTAAGAATTTTTCATTTAAATCTAAAAGGTATATTTTCTTCTTTTCTGATTGATTCAAGTATCTCCAGTAGAACTCTATGTAAAAACTCTGAAAGAATTAATACATTTGCGCTTTTTTTTTTGGCATTATTGATCAGAGATTTTCATCACAATATAAATGCAAACCCGCCTCACTTCTGATTCTGTTTCTTGACAGTTCTTTTGAAAATAACCAGCAAATTGAGAATGAAGCAAATATCTAAACAGACTTTCAAAAAAGGCTAGACAGGTTATTCATGTTCAGTATGTTGTAGTCAGTTGTACTGTACGGTTGTGCAGAAGTTGCCTGTTAAAGCTACTGATGGTGTGAATGGCTGTTGCTTTAGTGAGTCATCAGAAGAATTTTGAATATTTCTAAAATGACTGACAAAAGTGCCCTAAACTCATCTGATGATGCACGTTCTGAACTTTGCTTTGTGGTCAATTCCCTCCATATTAGTGACGTAACTGTTATTTTTACAAATTTGGTCCTATTTTTTTTTTTTTTTAAAATCTAATACAAATCATTGAGCTTTTGTGCTTTTAGCAGACTTTTAACTGCTTCAGTCCAGAAGTTAAGCATGTGGCTGCCTGTCTTTGAGACAGGTCTCTAGGAAGGGCCGCCTCTCTGCCCCAATTCGGGTACCTCTGCTTCAGGGCACAGATTTCAGCTGGCACATGCAATACGCATGGTTTGGGGGAAAGTTGTGCAAGACGGGAAGTGATTTTTGCATCAGCTGTCAGGGCCTCAAGTTGGAAAAAGGGCAGTCCATATTGATTGAGAGGATCTATGTAGTTGTTTTAAATATACACTCTGTCTAGTTTAATGCTAAGATGAATTGGAGTAAAATGTTGGCTAAGTTGAGGCTGTCAAAGATGTGATGACTGCAGAGTTTGCGATATAAAAAGTAAGACCATGTGTAGTATAGCAAGTAGGAAAAAATGGCTGGGAAAAAATGTTACAAGCAAAGGAAGTAATTGCTATTCTTAGCTGCAGGTGTTATCTGTGATAATTTGATGTATTTGTGTTTTCTGTATTAATGACGGAAATGAGTATTAGCTGTGTGATTTATTTTTTTTTTAATATTTTTAAATTTTCACTTTTTGCTGAAGATGGATGCAAAAACTGTCTTTTTTCCTATATTCCCCCCCCAAACTTTAACAGAAGGCCTACTGTGGTGAGTAGGTAAAGCAAATCAAATAACTTGAAAGTAATAGTGGTAAATTTTTGCTTGGTGGAGTGGAGAGGGGAAAACAATGAATAGGAGATGTTGGTAATAAAGGAGCATTACCACATAATAAACCAAAGAGCCTTTTATCAAATCCTTCAGTACAAGTCTTAGTAATGTGTACTTCTGTTCTGACACAAGGGACTTGAAATCATTATGTGCATTTGTATGTTAGGAATATGAGTAAGGTTCATGCAGCCAAACTTAGGTCTATTAAGTTTTTAAATGTTGAGTGGTTGTTTTTTGACCCTGTAATTCCTACAGATCTAATGCTGAGAGAGAAGCTGAACCACCTTTTCCTTTTGAGATATATGTAAATATATATTGTATGTGTGTAGCTTTCTATTACCTATCTTCCATATGTAGGTATCTATTTAACCTATAAACATCACTTCCAGTTCTCTCCGTGAACTTTCAGCATTTCAAAGTGCACAACAGGGAAATTCAAGAGAAATACTAAATTTTTAAGCAGCTCTGTTTATGTTGTGTTTCTAGCTGCTCAGCCTTGTTCCATCTGCTCATGTTGGATTTTTTTTTCCCCTTTCCTGTTACATTGTGGGGATAAAAAAAACCCCCAACCTGGGTCTTCCTTGGGTTAAACCTAACCTAAGTTGAATCAAGTTACAAATGACAATGCCAAAGTAATTAAGAGTCTTCCCACCGATTTTGGTGCTTTTAATTGACAGAAAATGAGAATAGCACCGCAAATGTATAGACCTGTAACTGAGTAACAGAAGTATGCAGAGGCAGGCGCAAGGCAGTTTGGATTACTGGAAAGAGGACAGCCACATTCGCTGTCAGAAGTGCCATTTGGAGAGTTTTGAAAGAATTGTAATATTATTCCTTTTAAAATGATTAGTTTGTTTTAATAGCTCTTTTGAATTAGCCATACCAGCGGTTCATCACAAGTGTTATCACTTAAATTGTATGGTTCTCAGCTGGAGTTCTGCCAGTTGATCTTGGTAGCTAAAACATTGAGCCAATAAAGGCATCTTGACAGTGGCAACTTGTAAATCTCCACGGTAAGCTTTTGAGATGTTTTAGAAGTTATGCAGACTTGGAAGACATGTTTATTCTACTAAAAAGATTGGAGTGAGCTACTCATATAAAACAAAACAAAAAAAATTGAGTTTCCTGGCTGGTTTTGTCTAGTAGTGACATTGTGTTTTGGTATACGGTCATTTTGCTTATGTTTTCCTTGACTACCTTAGTGAATATTTTTCTAAGAGATAAATTCTTGTTTTTCTTTAATAATGTATTTATTTGCATAACATGATATTTTGTAAATAAATTCATGCATTCATTTGCTTAATTCCTTTTAGGTAATTTTTCTAACTACTACACATTCTGTAGTAATTCTACTGGGAAGTACTGCAAAAATGTAGTAATTCCCAGCTGAGTTCAGTATGTTTAGTATATTATGAATATTCAGATTAGGCAGTGAATAAACAATGAGACAAAGTGGAAATTTGTTACCTTTAAAAAGCTCTTAAATATACTTTTGTGAGTTTAAGACCTCAGGCAAGTTTTTTCTTTAACTCGGAAGAATAAGACAGCTTTGGTAATTCTTAACATGAATTTCTATTAAGTAGAAGGATAATGAAGACAGATGCTTTATTATCATATACCTTTTATAATTCAGGACCTTGCAACAGTTACTACTTGTTATTATGGTCTTCATTTCACATCTCTATTGAGACTTGCAGTAAGAAATTGAATACAGTTATGTTATAGGCGATGAAAGAGTTAGTTTGGAGTGTGTAAAGTTACGTTTGGTTTTGGTTTTGTTAACAGTTGGAGCTGAAAATGGACAAGAAGCGATTGAAAGCGGAGCTGTTTTTCTCTTTAAGACATTTCACAGGAAAGAATGTGTTGGTCATGATGAGACAAAGGCGATCAAGCAGATGTTTGGGCCATTTCCATCGTCATCTGCTACTGCGGCTTGTAATGCCACATGTCGGATTGCTTCTCACTTCACTGAAGAACAGCTTACAGCCCTCATACAGATGGCTGAAGAGCAAAATGGTGATAACAGAGTCGTCTTTGGTAAAAATATAGTGTTTTCATTTGACATGCATGATTTGGATCACTCTGAGGAGCTGCCTGTGAATGGTGAGACTGATGCACAAAAAAATATAAGCTTAGATTATAACAAATTTCTCAATAACCAGCTGAATCACTTACAGAATTACTCTGATGAGAAATCTGATCTCAAGTCTTTGGAAAAAATAGATGATTCTTTTTTATGGTGCGAAGTTGCAAAGTATCTGAATGAATCTCAAGGAAGTACCCCTGGAGGGCCAACAACAGAAGACCTCTGCTGTACTTTGTATGAGATGCTCGCTTCTACCAAAAGCGGTGATGAACTTCAAAATGAGGTACAGTACCGTGTTAACTGCATTGTGTGCATTTGAATATTGCAGAAATAGATAATTATCTTATATTGGATTATGCCAGTAGACTTTATCCAAATGTCATCTATGCTTTTTCTTTTTTTTTTTTCCATTTGTCTTGAGAAAAATTACATGGCAGCATGTTAATTTACCAGGCTGAAGACGGCTGCAACACGAATTTGATTGTGCCCCATAACAGACAGGCTATTTTGGCTGTTTGCTCAGCTTCTCCATGTTTTGGTTTGTTTTTTGTTTTTTGGTTTGTTTTTTTTTTTAGCTGTAGCCAATTTAAGCTACCATATAAAAGTGTGAGAACTTGCAAAGCCAAACTGTCTTGCACAGGTTCCCCCTCCAGTTTCAGAGCCTTCTTGTCACTGAAAGGTGGAGGACTGGGGAAGTGCTGCTATTTTAAAACTTCATCATATCCCTTCTATTTCTTTTGGTAAGGAAAGGGGGTGGGTTTGTTGCAGGAAGGGCAGAAAAAGCTTGAAGGGGTGAGAACGGAGAGTTGCTGGGAGGTGGGAGTTGAAGGAGATAAGCAGAGTGGTAGAAAGGGGAAAGAGCATGGCCAAAGGCTGGAGAAGAGGGTTTCCACGCACATGCAAGAGAGATGATGGGATTAGTCTTAGGCAGGAGAACTGTTTTGGAATAGAGTTCAGAAAGATCTCCTTCAATTTGCTAATGGCTTCTTCCTGTGTGCTTTTCTGTTATGTTTACTTTATTTATCCTAATTTGCCCTGCTCTCCTGCCCTGAAAACATCCACTACTTAAATTCTCAAACTGACTTTTTCAAGACTTTAAGTGTTGAAAGTTTGCTGCAGAAATGCAACTGATCGTAGGAGTAGACTACCCTGTGAAAGACAGTATAATGAAAATTTGCTGGATTTTGCCACTACAATTGCAGATTTTATTCTCATTAATGAAAATGTTAAGTAATAGAGAAGAGGACATGAGTTTTTGATTGTAGGTTTAGATAACTTTCATTGATATCTATTGCATAATGGTGTAGTTGCTGAGGCCATATTCTTATTTTGTTTGGTCATCAATAGACCACATTTTGGCTGTGTTTTCAGTTATTTTCTTATAAGCTTCTAATTTGAGAACCTAAATATTAATATATAGGGAAGCTGATCTAATTTCTACTATATTAGAATATATTTGAAAAATACCACTTTTATTCATGTCTGCAAACAGTTTCATATTTTAGGTGGTTGTACTGAGGGAACATATTAAAATAAAAGACTGAACAGATCTTGGAGAAGGAGGTTGAGTAAAGAAACTTGCATGTCAAATGAAACATGAAAAAGAGTAACTTAATTTGCTATAGGGACCTGAAGTTTATTAATTGTACAGAGATAAAGACTTCAAAGTTGGGGGTTTTTTCTTACATCAGCGGAAGACTTGCAGATACAGTCACTGAGTACGAGGAAATAATTCCATGCTTCTGCACAATGGCTTCTTAATGCTGAAGATTGATTTGCAAACTGTTAAAGAAAATACTTGAAAAGTCTCCCTTGAAGCAAGAAAAGAATAGTTTTTATTTTGCGACTTTCTTATCATACTGGATTGCTAAATCAATTAATTGGCAGAAAGTTCAAGTAATGTAGAACAGCAATAAAGATTTCCTTTGTTTTTGGTTTTGTGACAAAAGCTTTCTTGCAAAATTTTCGATTTTGATGGCTTTACAGAGTTTTAATTTGATAATATGAAAAAATTGTTTACTCTGCCAATGCATACCATACATTTCTGAAGATTATTTAGCAAGACTAGATTCTTTGCATTACTGGAGAGAAAAGGAGTTATTTCGCTTGAATTTCTGAAACCTCTATCAGATTTTTAAGAACTCGGAGTAATAAAAACCCAAATTTTCTCCCCATTCTTCTTATTTTAACCCCCGTGTTGCCTTTCCTTTCATCAATCTTACTTATTCATTATTCATTGCACAAAGTGGGGGCTGAAGTGGGACTAAGGCTAATTCAAACCTGATCACCTTTTCTTAAAAGCTCACTGGCATTTCTGTTGTGCTCTCTGTAAGAGTCGTCATGACTTCAGAATTTCTCCTGGGCTTTAGATTTTACCATCACTTATGGATTAATTTTTTTTTTTTAATTTATTTTTTATCACGGCAGTTTTGCTGGTAGTATCATTACGAGCAGATGGTGCTTTTAAACCTGAAGATAACCCATTTCTAGAACCAAATCATAGATTTGCCATATGGGATGGCATAACAACTGTGTGCTTGATCATGAACATTAAAAATCTTACATTAGTTGGGGTAATGCATGCATGCTAAAGTCTCTATACTCTGTGAAATTATTTTTTTCTTTATAAACCAGAAAAAAAAAGAACTACTGATATGAAATGATAATTCTTTGTAAATAAAAATTCAGATCTGTAAGGTACATTTACATCTTATAAACCAGTGCTCATGTCTGTTCTTCTGTTTAGGAAGATACCACTTGCTGTTTATTACTAAACAAGGGAAGCCTGTGCCGGTGGTGAGGGTATTGGCACATGGACTTTAAAACATTTAATCTGATCAAAGCAAAGTTAATTAAGATTCAAGGTGGCATTAAGAACAAGAACGTTTTTAGGTCATTTCAGGGGTGAAATCCTGTTGGTTTGTTTGTTTGTTTTTTGTAGTCTATGTGTAGGCACACACGTTTACCCTATTTAGGTTTTTATTTACTTATTGAACTCTATGAGAAATTGAAATGAGCTTCATTTTCCAGCACTGTATAGCTGGTGTTTAAAGTGATTGGTGACACAGAAGATATACTTTGTTCTTCACTTTCACTATTTAAGAGCATTTCACACTTCCTTTGGGATGTGTCTCCAGTGACTCTTTATTAGAGGAAATTTGGCTCTGATGTTTGAGGGGATATGGGAGTTCTAACTTATTTCCTAAGTATTTGGAATGTGTTTTTTGTTGGGGACATTAAGTCTGGTAAAGGTAAATGACAGCTACTGGAGCATGCATTTCACTGTATGTCGGTTTTTGTTGATGAATATGAAATGTAATGGTGCAGTAACAAGACCATTATTTAAAAATAGGAAGAAAAAGCTGAGATAATCTAGAGTTTTGCCCAATAACAACTGTTAAACATTAAAACTTAATGTGTAGGATATTCCTCAATTTGAGTACTCTGTTTCAGAATGAAGACTTGAGGCATCTGAGAACATTTTAGCAACTTTACCAGCTAACCCCTGCCAGGATAAGTAGGAAAAAGTTGGAGGAGTTTAGTCCCTCTTTGCTTACACCATACTGTTCTCAAAGGGTCCATCTATCTCTTCTGTGAACTCTTGTGATTTGCAGAATTTTTCTGAATTTTATTTTGGCAATACCTATCTCTGTTTTTACACTAATGCAGAGGTACATTATTCCTTTAGCATAACAAAACAGGAAGAAATTTTCCCAAAACAATATAACTAGAAAAAAGAGAGGAGGATGAAAATTCTGTTAAGATCACAGATTATTAAAAATTGAACAATTTATGCACCTCAGGCAAAGAACTTTGCCCAAATAAAATTAAGAAACTTCAGTGTAACTTAGTGTATTATATTAAATGGTGTTTCTCACACAAAATCATGTTAAATGCTGTATAAATGACTGGAATAACACTAGGCCGTGATGTGAAACAGCAGAGCTGTTTCAAGAAAATTACATTCTAAATAGTAGTTTGCATAATATGTGAGGAGTGCATACATTTACTTACCTCTCTATACAATAGATTTATTTGCTTATAAAATAAGACACAAGAAATTTCCTGCTTAGACTTCTTTTTTCTGCATTATAGTTGTGACTGTCTCCATCTCTGTGCATTGAAAGGTAACATATACATGTGCTTGGACTTAAAGCATCCAAGGCTCCCATCAGTTAAATACAATTCAGCTGTATTGCAAACTGTTACAGTGGGAAACAAGAGTTCCTTTTTGTTTAATTTCTAAGAATAATTCATTATTAATGATTTCCACTAAAAAAGTAATACATAGCTTCTTCCTTGTTGTCATAAGCTCCTGAGAACATTCAGGTAATCAAAACTACAGTTAGAGACCAAAGGGTAGTAATGTATTGTTTGAAAGTGCCAAATACTTCCTTCGGAGGTCAAAAACATTCCTTTCAAATCAAAGTAGACCTGAAATCAGAAAAATACAAGTTGTAGATTATAGGTTTTTTAGAGGGGAAAAAAAAACCAAAAATGAGAGGTTAAGACTTGGGCAGCACCTTTCCCTCTATGTGTTCCTTAATAGATCCATCCTGTGATATGCTCATCATTAGAGCCAGAAGGTTACAACTTTGTTACTGAAATTCAGTTCTTTGTATGCTTATTTCAGAATGGAAGTTAATAGATTATTTTGTGGGTTTATTAAGCAGATTTTTTTTTTCAGTGTAGTGTTTGTGTGTCTCCAAATGCTTGATGTAACAACAGGCTTCTAGACGGTTTTCCTCAGGCTGTGCAGTGCAGAGCTCTTGTCTTTCAGGCTTCTGCCTGTAACTTTACTTTAGCTGCCTTTGTCATTGGTGGCAACATAATGATTTTTTTTTTTTTTCCACTTGAATTCACCTACTTTGTTTCTGTTGCCCTGTCCTAATATCAGCACAAATGTCTGCCAATATGCTTTGTTGGTCAAACCTGTTAGTGCTCTTGGGATCAAGAGCAAGGCATACTTCACTAATTTGTCAATTCAACGAACTGGCAGGAAGTTTCTCTGTGTCTGCCACCAGGCTTTCTGCAAAGGAAGTACAGAAGAATAAAGGAAAAGAAAATCTTATTTAAACTTTCACAGAATCTGTAAGGGACCTTTTCTCTCAGTGGTACGATATCTTAAACTAAGCAAGACTCATTAATAAAAGAATGTGGAAAAGTTTGTCCCAACTTCTCCCTTGAAGATTGCTCCAGAGTCTTGTTGCCTGTGTGGTTAAAATGAACCCTTGTTATCTGCTTTTTGGCGTTATTCAGGGCTAGTTTTATGATCACTTTTTC